CTGCCGCGCCTCCGCTTTCCTGCAGCCTTGCCTTGTGCCTTACAACAGGTAGAAGTTTCTGCATTCCACACCACAGTCAATCCCTGATGGTTTCGCAATAAAAATAGCGATTAAAATTACTTACCAGTTAAATCACTCAGCTTCCCTCCGAGGAGGAAAACATCACTTCGAGTGAAATTAGAGTCCAGGAACAGCTGTGTGGTTTTTGCCACCTGCTGGCACCTCTCGGGGTGCCCTGGGCTGTGTGATCCTAATGGAAGAAGCCCCGTGGTTGGAGAAGAGGGTCCAACAGATTTGGTGTTTTTGTTTTTTAAATTCAACAAGATTTTTTGAGAATCTATCAGGCTGGCATGCCAGGTACAAAGATGAAGAAAGGCCTTGAACTTGGGCTCAAAGTCCAGCGAGTGGAATGGCAGTCGTGTCAGGTTACAACAGTGCAGCCGTGTAGATGCAGAAAACATGCCCTTGGCTCCCGCTCAGGTTCCCGAGCTGCCGTCACCACTGCCATTCTCTCCGCCCCGGAGCCCTGAGCTCAGAAACCGCGATGGCCGGAGCTGCCCTCCCTCTGGACGCTCAGGGGGAGAGCCTGTCCTTGCCTCTTCCAGCTTTGGTGGCTCCAGGTGTTCCCTCCCCCCAACCTTTGCCAGGCTGCCATTCTCTCCGCCCCGGAGCCCTGAGCTCGGGAACTGCAATGGCCGGAGCCGCCCTCCCTCTGGACGCTCAGGGGGAGAGCCTGTCCTTGCCTCTTCCAGCTTTGGTGGCTCCAGGTGTTCCCTCCCCCCAACCTTTGCCTCCATCTTCACATCACCTCCTCCTCGTGGCTGTTTCTCCTAAGGACGCTTGTCCCTGGACTGAGGGCCTTTGGGTAATGCAGGATGATCTCGACTCAAGATCCAGGACTTAATTACATCTACAAGGACTTTTTTTCCAAAGAAGGTCACCGTCACAGGTTCCAGGGGCTTCGACATGGACCTATGTTTTCTGGAGCCACCATTCAACCCCCTCCAGATGTTTACGTGAGAATGACTCATGTTCCTTGAGGACAACTTCAGAGGGCAGGTGGCATCTGAGCACCTTACAGGGATCGTCCTCTTTAATCCTCCAGCATGTGGTCCTCTTACCCGGGGCAGGCGCAGCTAGTGACCAGATTTTTATTTTATTTATTTTTATTTTTAACTAGAGGCCTGTTGCACGAAAAGATTCGTGCAATAGGCCTTCCCTTCC